AATTCATTGCTGATTCTTTATTACTAACAATCAGCAGTAATTCAAATATGTGAAATGCCGGTCTATTTCAATCAATTTCCTTTGAAAAAAAACATTTCATTAACTTTATAGTAAAACTATATCTAAGTCAATCCTTGACATAAATATTTAGGTTAAAAATTAAAAATGTCTTGAACTTTCTTAAGCTGTTCTTTGAAGACTCTTTCGTCGTAGGAAAAATAATTTTTTAACGAATAATATGATACCCTTAAAACTGTTGTAAATTCTTGAAATATGTTTATAACAATTATATAAGATTTTATATTTTCTAGTTTGCGCAGTCTATGCAAAAACATTTTTATGGTTCAATACATCAATACGAATAAAAATCTCAGTTTTTTTTTAAATAAGAGTATTTGAGACTTTTTTCATGTTTAAACAGTTGTTGATTTGTTGCATTTTTTGGAATTATCGGAACATGTAAAAATTAAGTATTATTTTTTAATTCTAATAATTTTTTTCTGGATAAAAATATTTTGCCAGGTTGGCAAATTTTTAAGACAAATATATTTTGTTTTTAAAAAATTTTGAAATAGCTATCCATTTTGTAAAATAGCTGCCGATCAAGTTTTTTTCTTTATTTTTTTATTTTATTTCATTTTCCGAAGCAAAATTTTTCCATGCTTACAATCAAATTACATTATTTTTTTTATTTTGTACTCTTCGGTTAGCCGGGTGCAAAGAAGTGCACCTGCATTTTTTTTTTATTTTTTTTTATTTTCTTTATTTTTTTAATTCATTTAATTTTATGCATTTGAAAAATAATGAAAATAAAAAAAATTGAACAAATTTGGCTGCGGTCCACATTTTTTAGTGACTTTTTGCTTGAACTCGGGTAGCCGAAAAAAAACATTATTTTTATTTATTTATTCTATTATTTATTCAATTTATTTATTTTATTTTTTTGTTCAATTTATCTATTTCACTTATTTGTATATTTTTCTTGGCGAGTAAGCTTCGAAGAAAATCCTTAAAACTGGTTTTTAAGGACTCTGCTATCACATGAAATAATGCTATTTAGCGAATGATATCCTATTTATGCAACTGTTATAAACTTGCAAATTTGCAACAATTATTTATGTCTGTAAAGTCAATTTCTGCCTATCTTAAATCAGCACTAACTCCTTAACTTATGAAACAGGCATGGAGTGTCAGTATGAAGTTTTGTAAAAAATACATATGTTAGTTATCAAATTTGTAAATATTTTAAAAATACTGTAACATTTCACTTCTTTAGATCATAAAAATTTTGAAACATGAAAATTATTCTTAAATTTTAGGAATTTTCATCTAAGTGAAAAAATCTCGCCAAATTGACAATTTTTAAAAGATTTAACAACTACTAAAATATTTAAACCATTTTTCAGCTCAAAAACCCACATAATTCTTAAAATGTTTTACGGAAGTATAGTATATAGCTTTACCTGAAGTGTAAGGTACTTAAACAGCGGCTTTTTTTTTTTTTGGAAAATGAGCTCTAAAAACCACTTTTGAAAGGTTTGCTTTTGACAGATGAAAATGAAACAAATTTTCCTAAAATTGTTACGACGTGACAGCATCTGGCACAAAACGTAATAAACAGAGTTATCAATTTCGAGATTTAGCAAATTTAATTGTCAACTGCTAATTAATTAATTGTTACACAGATCTGAAGTTTTTTTTCCGTTTCCCAAAAATTAACTCAAGTTAATTTTGGGAAAACAGGAAAAAATATTCAATTACGATATGATATATTTTAATCACATAGAAAAGCTAAATGTTATAACATTTGGAATTTCGTTAATGATTATAATCACTAAAAAATTCATTTAAAAAGTTTATTGCCTCAAGCTACTTTTTTGCATTTTGGTTGATTGATGACACTAAATTATTATAACACTTGCATAATAAAATTGTTAAATATACAGTTAGTACCACGGGAGAAAACTTATCAACTTCTTAGAACGGGTGGTTGTCCAAACTTGGGGATTGCATAAAAAAAGTCTTACTCTACATTTTTTCACCGAAACTATTAAAAAATTCGAATTTTGGCTTTTATGCTTTAAAATTACATTAATACATCTATCATATTACACTAAGGAAAAATAAATTATTTATAGCAATTAAATTTACTTGAAATCATTATTAAGACACTAGTTTTATGAATAAGTGCAAAAAATGTTTTGATTCATACAATTAATTATAAAGATATGACCAAAAAAAAAAAAATAAGGACCTAAAATTTTTGCTTGATACATAATTGGGCTAATACTTCCCATATTGTTGATACCTCTGTCTATGTTAAAAATCCCTAAAACGGGGTATTTAGAATAACTCTTTCTTCTTAAAAATCTTATTATTCAGTGTCTTTTTTTCATTGGTAATTTCGAAAGCTATTTTGCAAATGAAATATAAAAGCCAGTTCAAATGCCTCACACCTGAAAACCTCGGTGTGTGCTATTTTCATCATAAGAATTTTTCGAGTGTTAAAACAAGCAAATGTTTTAAATATTGATAAAAAATTTATTTTCTCGAAAAAAAATATTACAAATCCCTATTTACATTTAATTTATTAAAATTTATGAATTTATCTCAATTATTTCATATTTTTGTGCCTAAGCGATGCTTAGTGGAAGCGAGTTTTTTCAAAAAAAAAAAATTTTGAATCAAAATCACAAACTCTTTTTAGAATTAGATAATTGTGGATTTACATTAAATTAACATTTTGAGCAAATTTCATACCGATCATGTAGACGCAGGTTGCTGATGAACAAAAATTTACCTAAATCTCAAGAACAGCTGTAGCAAACTCACAACAGTTATGAAACAAAAATATATAAATCGGAAAAAAAACATACTTTTATATGTTGATAGAGTCGAAGATTACTAAGCCTTAAAAATAGTTGTTGACTGATTGATATTTTATTTTGATATAGTTGGAGCAGAAAGCAATGTGATAATTTCTCTCGAGATCTCTCTCACCATCCAAAACGTGCGGAATGTGATTATGTCGCTATTTACTCTAAAGAAGATGGAAAGTGTTTGGGTAGTCACCCAACGGAAGGGCAGGAGGTATGAGAGTATTCCTAGAGTATTTCAAGGCCAGGAGTAACTCAAATCAGGAGTATTCCTAAAAAAATTAATAAAAAATAACATATCAATGAAATTATAGCTATTTCTCAACGAACAAAGCAAAATATTTCCTTTGCAAAATTTAGAAAATAATAGTTAAATCTGAAGTAAAGGCACCAGACGATTTTCTTCGATTATAAATAGGTCATCATTCATTTCTTTTTACTTGTAATAAATTAAAATATCGTATGTTATATAATATTTTAATTTATTTAATCTGTTAAAATTTGATTTCGTTGATACCCATACTACATTTGAACTGCAGGCAAAATACGCTAGGTAAGCAAAATCCAAAAACGATTATTGTTATGTTTTAGAATGAGCTGACCAGCGTCCTCATGAAACTAAAAAAACTGGTAATAAAGTTTTTATACGAATATTTGAAAACTAACTTATTTATTTCTTCAGATTAATATTCTTAAAATAAACATCCCTCTTAGATATTCACAAACACAAGTAATTTTTTTTTTAAATGTGATTAGGTGAGTTTTCGATTATTTTTTTGGAAACTTTACTTCCAGTTTTTTTAGTTTTTTGAAGAAACTGTTCACATTATTTTATAGGGATATTAAAAAGCTTCAATGTGATACAATCCAACTTATTTTCGAGTGTCCGATTTCATTCCATGAGTTTTTTCAGTTGATGTTAAGAAAAGATATTTTCTAGGATATATTACTTAAAATACTTTCAATAAATCAGGAATCTAAGCAGAACATGATAGATAGAGCTTGGCTAAATGGTACTGTTTTTGTGCGAAATCATATCATAAATTATATCATATTTCGTATCATAAATTTTCATGATAGCCCAAAGAAGCATTAACCTTTATGTTTCAGTAATATTGAATGAATTATATTGAATTTGTATCTAGTTCGTAAAATTTTGTCATTGTGCTAGAAGCGGAAAGAACAAGTCAATAGTTGTTCTAAGGCAATGGTTTCCAACTAGGGGTGAATTTCATAGTTTCAAGGAGGAATGAGGTCAATCTGACTGCCCTTTATTTCTACTGCAGGATCCTTTGTACTATAAAAAAAATTCATTCAGTTTATTGTTGAAAATGTTACTCTTAATGCTTTGAAAGATGAGTTTCTTTAGCCAAAAAATGATCATCCAAAAATTGATCTTAGTTGATCTTGTAAAAATCGTATCCATAAGTAGCAGAAGAGCTATTCTGATATTGCATCTCGTTGTACTGATTTATATTTGCGAATCATGCTTCTCAATCACGCTAAAAACGAAAGGAACATAAAGAAATACATTGTAAGTCAAAAATGTAAGTGTTCTGCGTTTTGTCTTTTAGTGCTCTGCCTTGTACACCCAAGAATTGCGAAAGAAAAAACAACCACAGACATGTCATACCATTAAATAAAAAGTGACCAATAATACACTCATATCACTTTTAACTCCCCTAGCACTTTGTCTTTGACAGGTTTTGACTCTGGTCGGTGAGAGAATGGGAGTCTTCTTTTTCTTCGGTCTATTATGTGAGCCTTAGAGTGAAGAGAAGCTACCCTCCCTGAAATGCTACCCCCCTGAATATATATATATATATATTTACCGTAAAATCCATTCTTACTGTAAAATATTATACATCACTTCTTACTGTAATATTTACGAGATTTTCAGTGATTTTATCGTAATTATTACTCTAAAAATTGGGGTATATCAGATTTTTTGTTCAGTCGCATGTTTCAATAAAAATGGATTTTACTGCAAAAGTGCCGCCCCTCCCTCTGAGTACCAGTATCTTTTACGGTAATTTGATCCGAAGTGGTTTTCCTCAGTGTTCTATAAATTGGCCACCAAATCAATGCACCACAAATGTAATTGTACTTTGTGTGCTTTTATAGGTTAGTACAGAAGAAGTGGAGATGTTGAAGAGAGCATTTATTAATCCCACAATGCTCTATTCATATGGCATAGTTTTGAGAGGCGATAAATTCACTTTTGTAAAAGTTGAAAAGGAGGCTATATTAGGAAGAAAAGTTGATGAGTCCTGTCTTATAGTGCAACTGGATCAAGGTTAGTACCCAGCATCATTATTTGCTACATTATACTGATTAGGTTTTTGAAGCTATATTAAAAAAGAAATCAAAGTAATTTTCATTTCTAAAAATATCTTTGTTATATCGGGTATAAACTTCGACAAATTAGCTCAAGGAAAGCACAAAGTATCTATAAATTCAAGTTTATTTTAAAATTTGACCAAATTAATACTTTAATAGACGGACAGACGTGCTGGTGTTTAAAAAATTGTCAATAAATGCAGTACAGTGATAAATTCTGTCATAATTATGTTAGACTCTGACAATATGATAAGAAATTTAAGTTTGTGATGTCATCCTGCCGCAAATTATCACTGATTGTTTTATCTCTTAGTCAAAATATAAACCAAAATGTTTTCCACTTCCAAACTTAGTTTTGGGCAAATATGATGAAATCTATGAGATATAACTAAACTGAATGCAAAAAAATCATATTATACATGTCTGACAATACAATACAAAATATACAAGTGCGACAATTTATAAACAACAATATACTTACAAAACGAATAGCACACCACACACCAAACAAAGTAAACACTATGATCAAATTTACTTGAATGTGATAAAAAATGTACCATGTTTTCTGTCTCTTAGGATTTCAATTTTTACTATAACAAGCTGGTAGTATAGTTAAAATTAAAAATAAAATCTGATATGCTATTTGATTGTGAATTTAGTAATTTTGTCGAAATATTTGATAGTAAATATATTTAACAATTCTAATATTATATAAGACAACGAAAAAATGTTCAGTCTGATAACTTCTATTAAGTAAACGTGGTTCGTTGTTGATTTCTTTTTATTTTATAGAGAATTTTGTTATTCTACCGCGATATTGGCAATCTTGTTATTTTATATCGTGATTCTTTAGAGCATGGCGCGAAAAGAATTTTTTCTGTTAAATTTAATGTTTACTATTGAATTTTTTACTAACTGTAGGGATAATAAGAATTATAATTTTTAAAAACAGAATTTCCGAAAAATCATTTCCGTTTCAAAAGAAAAAATACCAATTAGGTGATTTAAATACCGTACATGTTGGCGTTAGTAACCAGAATTCTCATTCATTTAACAAAAATGCATTTATCACGCAAGCAATTTTTACAGATTTCTTCACTCAGTGTTCGACTGCACTTGTGTTTCAATTTTCGAATGAGTCAGGAAAGTCCCAATCGAACGAAGCACAGATGTCACACGTCTTTTATTAGTACATCATAAATAGTTCAGGCCTTGCACCAACTCAAACCTTGGAATGATGTCACCACTAACATCATCATTACCAATCTCGTGTATTTCCAATTTCTCACGGTCTGGAATGGATTAGTGTCGTTAATCATTACGTTTGTCAATGATTAACCCGAACGTGGTTTGTCATCTGCGATTTCACTTCCTATCAAAAAAATTTTAAGTTAGTTGCAATGCATTGTTTTCCTCAGAATCATTCTACCATGTTTATCTGTAGCCCTATTTCGTTTGTCACGAGTTGACCAGTTACAGTACAGTTGCTTTTCGACTCAATCATATTCTTGTTACGCGACGTCACTCATTAGATTTTTTATTTATTCTTTTTATGCACGCTATACCGCTTTATTAATTAATAATACTTTAAAGTATCCATTAAAAACGTTAAAACATATAGGTTATTGATAGAACAATCAAATTTAATTAAATTATTTCATCTATCTCACTAGGTATCCTCATTTGCATCTATGGCTCAAGTCTATTAACAAAAGATATTTACAAGCACTTTATTGAAATTTATGAGAAATATAACAGAGCTTAATCACTTTATCAATGTGAGTATAATTGTACACTTTTGCAAATGATTTGCGTTTATATATCATTGAATATTCATCGATTATTTCATAGTTTTAAAGTAATAGATGGTTTAAGGAAGTAGCTGCTTATAAATGTTATTAAAAAAGAAAAAATAATTAAACTTTTTTATAGAAATAAAAATAAAAAATTAGCAAGACATGAAAATGAAAAACATTGGTAAATGTGGTTGCTTTTTTATGTAATTTTCGCTAAAATTTTGACAATTGGTTTAAGGGTAAAGGGGGTATAAATTTTTCTCTTTGATAAACGCTGTAGCCTACTATGTAATGAGGTCATAATAGGCACTTTGAACTACGATAGTTACCCCTTTTCCCAGCGAACATAATTTTTCGATTGCCCAGATATGTCATGCAGACGTCAATTTCGTTTAATGAAACTTCAGGATAAAACTTTCTGATCAACGAAGAGTTTTAAGTAAGCTCCTAGATCAGTCTGAGATCAGAGAAAGACAGGCGAAGTTCACGATGAGAGGAAATAGCTCCTCTTAGTTTTGGTGTAAATACCACAGCACCCAGACTAATAACGAGCTTTGAAATAGGAAAACTGTGATCCTTTTAGAAGAGAAGATTTTTAAACACATCTACCAATGTTCCAAAAGTCTTGAATTTCATCATAATTATATCTTACACGCATCATTATAAAAGTGCATAAGTGAGCAGAAAATGATGTTTTTTCTTTGATTTTTCATCTTCTTACATACATTTCTAATAACACACAAAAAATCAAAAATATTTAAGATGTGTATAGTTTTTGCAACAGTGAACAAACTAGGTTGCACAAAATATTCTCTGTTGTTGTCTTTTCTAATGCCACCTGCCAATGCTATGAAACCTGCTTGGTGAAATCAAGCAAATTTAAGGCAGAGTGCTAGCTTCTTGTTTTTCAGTGGCGCCATTATCTATGACCAAAAATATGATTGAAGTCACAAACACGCGTCACAGCTAGTTTTAAAGAACTGTCTCTTTCATACATACATTCATTCACAGATCGTAATTCTGACTTAAGCGGAAGAGTGATCAATCTCCAATTCATTACCCACAGAGGTAGAAAAAGAAAGAAACTTTGCTATGGGGACTTTGGACCCGACAGATTTAACGTGCACCTATCACCATTTACTACACGTGAAGTTTCTGAGAGGCGAGGTTCGAACTTATGATGTCTTGGACATGGGCCCAACGCCTTGTTAACCAGGCTATCTCGGCATAAATATTCCATTAAAATATTTAATTATAAGGAATTTACTTACTTTTTTAAATAAAAGCCAGAAACTCTAAATGACTAAAATCTGTTTAACAGTTTATAAGACAACTTTGCTTCTTAACATATGTGGACTGCAAAAGCATTTACAGTACTGACACTACGGAACAATCGGAGTATTTAGCTCTAAACTGACGCGCAAGTCAATCAATCTAATTGAACGCCTTAAAACATATGCGTTTCAAAACGCTTATGACAAATTAAAATCTAGCATTGCTAAAACAATATATTTTTTATTCGAAACAGTAACCTCGTAGTTGAGAAATCCATACCCTTGAAAGACTGAGAAACTTATATCTTCTCTGAAAATGTTTTTAAGTTGGTCTGATATCTATTACATCCATCTGATGCATCCTTTTCTAGTCCCCAACCGAACCAGTTCATTAGGTGCTACAAAATCGCAAAATGGAATCTCTGATCCGTAATTGGAGGCCACTTCTGTTAATTTCTTTCTAGAAATTGTAAACAGTTTTGATAATTAGAAACTTGCATAACCGGGACACTTCCTGAGATTTGTCTACGTCACTCTTTCCTTTTTCCCATGACATTCATTTACGTCAACTTTTCCCCATGACGTTCTCTGGTAACAAACTCCATCAGTTTTATTTTACTTTCAAATGTTTGGTGCCAGCAACTTTTAAATTCAACTTACAGGTCAGAATTATAGGAAGTTTTTACCATTAAATAAAATAAATTGTTAGTTAATCTTACAAATTTAACTTTACAAATTAAATATCATTTACTAAAGCAAATCACTTCGCGAATAAAGCACAAATAAAGTGCAGAACTAGATATATTATAGTTTGAGTTCTATAAACAAAAACCTGTCTCAATATCTTAACTCTAAATGAAAGTAGAAAAGTCAAGAACAATTGCAATAGAATATTGTTCTTCCCTTTTCTACGGACAACACGATTTTCCACCGTATTTTGGTTTTTACATACTAAGGAAATGGTTGCTAAATATAGAACCAAAACTATAGTATTTCCATATCTTTACTTTAGTTGTTCCTTGTTCACTTTTTTTTTTTGCTTTATGTTCTATCCTTTTGGATTTCTGATAAACCATTGAATTAAATTTTATTTTACAGAAAAATGGGTCTCAGTTGATTATGACGGGAGAGAAATGAGGATAAAATCACCTTTACCTTACTTTCATATTTTGGAATGTTTGTGAGATTTAATACTTTGTGTGTTAATTTCCGATTAAATAACTATTTAACTAACCATCATGGTATATTTTTAAATATACGGCACTAGGCCATACAACACTGAGATAATGTTATCATTTTTGCTGTAAAGTCTAAAGTGGTACTGGTGGATATGAACATATCCAAACATTTTCTAAATAGAGTAAATTCATCATAGAGTAATTTATTAACAGAATGTTTAAAAAATAGACAATTTTATAGTTATAATCTTAAACATATAGTTCTATAGCTATGAAAATGGACAAATTAGTAAATTATTTGCAAAGGCTAAATCTAATTCACAGAGAAAGAAAAACTGGTGAAATTAGAGTACGGCATGATATTGATATTTCTGGTAAATAAACAACAAAATTCTGGTTAATAAAAATATACGGTATTTGATCCATTCATTTGATAATGTTTCTTTCCGTGAGTCAACAGTTTACAGGAAATTCTGCCTATACAAGCAATAGTTTTTAATACTACGCATTTAATAAAAAATATATTAGCAAAATAGCCATGTAAATTAAACCGAATAAATAGTTTTTATGCCATGCTCTAAGGTATCATAATAAAATAACTAAATTTTACTAAATTTACCAAATTTTATCACTAATTATATAATTATAGAACCATATTTTATTATTAATTTTGAAAAAAATCATTGCTAAAGCCCTTTGGTAAAAATTACCGTTCCACAGAATGCGATAGGAACAGAAATAAGGTACAGAAATAAGGTACAGATTACGGATATACGGAGCAGAAATATGGTAAATTTTACCATATTATTGCAGTTTTGACCATAATTTTTTTCGCAATGATATTCAGGTATATTTTTCACTACACATTGCATTTCGTTATGTATTAAAAAGTTAAAAAGTTAACTAAAAGAATGTTAACCAGCTTATCAAAAACCTAACAATGGTTATATTAAAAAAATTTTAATATAAAAAAATGCAAAGCAAATGTTTGCCACTTTAAACGGTTTTCTTTTAGTGCTATATACTTTATGTCTTGTTTTCTCTGGAAAAAAGTTTTTTTTTTTGCGTTATTCATAAAAAATTTCCAATCCACGTAAACTTTTTTTTTTCCATTCATTAATTTTAAATTAGAAAACAAATTTCTGTCGTAAAAATACACAAAAAAACTAAGTGCAAAAAAATTTGTTATGCATTAAAAATAAAATATCAAAAAAGAGTTTTCTCTGCAAATAAAATGTATTAAGTTTCAAATCCTGCCATCAAAGTAATTTAAATCAACAAAAAAATGACATGAAATAATTTCATTTCATTCTGAAAGATCCACTTAATAACTAATAAAAAAGAACTAAAACGCCAAATCTTTTGTTTTATTTTTCACTTAAAATGGAAAAAAGAGACCCAATTTACGAAATATAAAAAATTCTCTACATATAAGAAACATATTTAATTAAAAATAACAATAGCTTATCAAACACAATCAATGAAACTTTAAGAGAAAAACATCTTGTATATATTTTCCACCACTTATATATAAAATAACGAATGCCTAAAAGAAAATCATAATAAAAAGAGACAGAATAGTATACATCGCACAGAGCAAAAAAAGTTTTGCATCAGTTCACTTAAAGGGAACAACTACTTAAATCAATAACGTACGAGACTAAAATGGTACTTTTTTGCCTATGCATTAATGTTTTCCGTAAAAGTTCTCTTTTCTATTTAACAAATATAGTAAGAATAAAGTGCAAAGAATATTACCTGTCATCTTATATGAATCACATTTTTAAAACGAAAGTTCTTCTGGGATTTAAAACTGTTTGGTGTCCGTTGTTTTCTTGATTTTTCTTTGCTTCTTTATTTTGATCGTCAAACATAATATTGTTTGACAATAAGGGCAAGTTTTTATCAAAACCATATTTTTCAAAATTAAAAAAAAAATTCCTCTCTTTTTTTTCTATAAATATTATTTTTTAAAGCACTTAAACAGAATAAAAAGTCTGTGTGGTATATATTGTAGCTCATGTATATCTAAACTTTTAAAGAAATTAATTTGTTTGTAAAAGTTAATATAATGTCCACTTAAAAGAGGTAAGACTTAATGTCTATTACAATTAAGAAACTATTAAAAAAAAGTAAAAACTTAATGCTTTGTTATCTATTATAAGAAAAATGTTAAAGATAACTGAACCCGATGAAGCAATTCGGGTTCAGTTATTGTATCAACCGTAAGCAAAGGCTTGAATCGAAATAACATGCAATCTAATGTTTATAAAACAACTTAAACATAAAAGTTTTTTTTTCAAAGCTTTTACATAGGGTTACACTTTATGTTGATGCCACACAACTCACAATTTAATAAAAACTTGAAGCAAAATTTTCACTCCTATATACTGCATTGGTGAAAATATTGCTCGGATAAACAGCTTACACATTTAAAGAAAAAATCGTGGAAATGGAAAGTATTAAAATCATGGAGTTCTTGCATATTTTTGAGCCTGAACAAAGCAGTTTGGAATAACTTTCAAAACATTTAATCACAAATGGTTGTCATTTGCGCAAACTGTGTCTTGTACTGACAAATTGCACTATTTTCATAATTTCCATAGAAGGCGCTGGCAAAGTTTGAAATATTTAACCAAAAAACTCTAAATAACAGCTACAAACCAGCAACAGTCACAAACATAATATATTAGTTACAATTAATATATTGAAACAAATAATATATATAATATTAAAATCGATTCTTTGAAGCTAATACATCCTTAAGCTAATTTGTAGCCTGTATACTAAAAGCTTGTTAAATTTTTTAACGCACATAAAATTTTAAATAAAACAAATCTATAGCAAGTCTTTCTGAGAAATCTTTCATAAAACTTGCAAAATTCCTTAAATCTATATGAAAATATGTATTCAAATGTATAGGATTTTTTTAGATATAAATATGACCACCGAAGTAAAAACTAAAATTATTAAAAAACTGCAATACAAAAGTTCTCAAAAACTCTCGAAATATTAATTAAACTATAGCAATAACTTATCAACTTCATTTGTGAAAGTTCATAAAGTTTAAATAAAAGTAAAAAGGTGAAACAAATTAACTCATTCATAAATGGTGATTGCAATAAAGCGAATAATAGAAAAAATACTAATAATTAAAAGGAAAACATTCCTGAAAAAAGAAGCCAAAACGTTACAGAAAATTGATTGTTTTCACAGTTACAATTGTAATTATTTATTATTATTATTAGGTTACAAATAATTATAATTATTTGTAACATTTATAATAATAAGCACTTTGTTTTCATAATTATAAATGTTTCAAATACTCGCCTGCAGTTTTATTTATCGAGTTATAAATTCAGATAAAATTAAAAATAATAATAATAATAGTTTTTTTCTGAAACAAACTTGTAATCCGTATTGGAGAAAGGTAAAAAAAGTATTATATTTTTATTTGTTTTAAATATTTATATCCTGTACATTTTTACAACTGTAAAGATGGCCCAGAATATAAAGTTTACCGTGTTTTTGTATTGGAACTACAAGAAGCTCGGTAGCTTTTACAGCAGCGCTTTGGTAATGAATTTGTTAAAATTAGCAATAAAATATGGTTTTATGATAAATGTGATAAATTATGCTAATTGTGAATAAGTTTGGTAATTTTCGCCACCATACCTTAGGTGATGGTTAAATGTATTTTTCAGTTAATATTTTTTACTAAATGGGTGGTAATAAGAACTATAACTTTGAAAACGAGAATTTCCATTACCATTAAAGCAAAAAGATTGCTAATTAAATGGTTTAAAAACCGTATATATCTCTTTTATTAACCAGAGTTTTGGTCAGAATTATGGCTATATTAACCAGAAATATCATTACCATACTTATCGTTAATTTTACCAGAATTATTTTCTCTCTTTAATGATTAGATTTTAGAAGAATTCTTTTGCATTGTGCTCACTATGTTGAAAAAGATACTTGGTCATAAATATTAATAACTCTGTTAATATGTGTTAAATCAGAACAAACTTGGTCTGATTGCCACGAGATATTTTTAACAAATAAAAATATCCGAGAATTTTTATGGTTTGCAATAGTTGTCTTCGTTTTTTATCGCATCATTATATTATTAAATAACTTGAATTGAATTTAAGTTGCTTTGACTTCGTTAAGAAATTATTATTTTATTTTTAAAAAAAAGCTGTACTATTAAAACAATTTCAACTGTACAGTGTATAAAAAAATTGGTGTATAGTTTTTTTTTTAACATTTTTGGTGTTGAGGTAAACTGAATTCATTTTTTATGTACAGAGCTGTAGTTATAGTTCACAAAATTGTATAAATTTGACTAAATGATAAATTTTTTAAAGAATTAGTGCAAATATATTACTGAAAATGTGATTGTTTTTTAAATAATATATGTTTCTTCAATGAAGTCATTAATTTATTCTAATGCCCATTAAAATGTGTGTTGTGAGTAAACAAAACAAGGAAAAATTTAATAAATAAATTATAGCAGTGAAGAAGTAAATAAAGAATGTGACTACATACATTGTAAAAAAGTTTACCTCAAAGTTTAGTTTACGTCAATACCAAAAAGGCGTTAAATGTACACCAAAATGTTTTACACTGCTCTTATTAAAATACTATATGTTTTATGATTAAAAATATTTAAAGCGGTAAAAATTTAGAGCAGCGCTAATTATACAATTGTAAATTGTATCTATTCTTATATAGTTTTCGACCTCATAAAATGTAAAATATGAGTTATTAATACTTTTTTTAGAAAAAAAAATTTTGAAAAAGTTAAAATATAAAAACATTTAATGAAAGAAAGCTCAAATATTTGAATTGAGTTTGAAAAACCAAGTCAATTCTGATTAAAATAACAGTTCATTCTTTTAAAATATTTATAAATTAAATTCATTCAAATATTCAATTCTTTGCAATGACAACCTTACGGTTGAA